CCCCCCCCCCCCCCCCCCCCCCCCAATAAAAAGGTTATTTCTGTGAAGCTTTTTGTCAAGATTTCAAGTACAAATACCATTGGAACGTAACCATTAATAGTGTTTAACGTTGTAATGGGTCCAAGATGGAACTAAGTGACCCTTGTTATGTACCTTTACATATACATATGAGATGAATGTCCTAAACTTATATAATTTTGTACGCTTAATGCAAGCGTGGACTCGAAATAGGACATAACGTTTTCGTCAAACTTAGTGGATAATGCAATCCGAAGATTCCACGATTCGTGTCAGATTTACGTAAGGACGCGCAAAGAAAACCCAAGTCCACATAATGACCAGTTAATGGCTTATTGATTGACACTCTCTAACTACATGTTTTACGTGAAGTCTCCAACTTCTAAGCCGTCTCCCATGGCTCTGTCTAGCGGTCACATTCGAGTCTTCTTCAGTCTGAACTCCCGATATTAATTCTGAACGTCTTTTATACAATATTTCTTATCAGTGGTGGATTTTGTGCTGCATTATTTGGCGGTACATACTAATTTTAATTATTCAAATTGCACACGTCCACTTAAGTTACATAATTACAGGTAAGGTCATAAACTAGTCGAGTGCAAAAGCAATCGACTCTAATCATATTAAAACGTCTCGGAATTATATTTGTGATCTCTACACCCTGAAACTGAATACGAACCAGGGTGCTAACAAGGACAAAAGTTATAACTCTAATGATATAATTATAATACCTCATCTATTGTCGGTCACCAGGATGCTAATACATGTAGTTATCTCTGCGTCATCAGAGATGGAACGTCGTATTATTTGTCCAAGATCAGAGTTGACCTCACTTTCTTTCCTAGTCGAGCTCTAATTTTGCTTCAAGGTCTGAACATGCAAATTGTTTCACTGTCCTTTGTGTTACCACAGTGATTTTTTAAAGACCCCAACTTTAATTAGCCGTACATGTTATGTATTTCTTTTGTTATGCAATTTTGGTACGCGACAGTTTCAGGGGGAAACTGTGTTGATTAATCACGACGCGGTGACATCGGAAGAGGCGGTGTAGAGGGAGTGTGTAGGGTCATGTGGGTAGCTCATTTGAACTCGAGGCACGGTTAGCATAATAAGTGAAACCGTGACCAAACAAAGCACACTCGCCTTAGTAAATACTGAGAGACGGAAAGATGGAGACGCTCGTCAAAATCGGTTTCTACATTACATGTTTCACTCTAAGCTATGGATTTAATTTGACTATTTTACACACCAACGATGTTCATGCACGGTTTGAACAGTTTGACAAGTATGGAGGCAGGTGCTCGGAAACAGAGGCAGAAGCGGGGGAATGTTTCGGGGGAGTGGCACGAAGATACACTAAAATCGAGGAAATTCGTAACGCTGAACAGAACGTGGTGTTATTGGACGCTGGGGATCAGTTCCAAGGCACATTGTGGTTCACTATCTACAAGGGGATGGCGACATCATACTTCATGAATAAACTGAAGTACGATGCTATGGTTAGTATGGGTATATACTGTTTCTGCTTCTTACCAGGGCCGCAGATTAACTATTTGCACTTTTGAGAAATGTGCCACGAATAAGCTAGAGCGACATCTGTAAGAATGCAGTGAAAACCAATTTGTGTCCCTGCTAGAGGGTATAATATTTCTTACAAAGTACCTAGGTCAGGTGAAGCTTCTCGGGCGGTGAGCTGGTTGATGTTGATGTACTTAACAGCTTGGTAACCAATAAAAAGTGAACAACTTCTAACTTGCTTTCTCCAGTGTGACCCACTACTATTACTCAACTTTGTTTATCTATCACCTTTAACTACTTATATATTACTAATGTATGCAAATTAGCCGCAAGTTCGTTCTAACACAAATAAAATGAAAGGACCGGCAACGCGGTTTCTTCCCTTGTACATGTCGCTCCTGAGAGTCCGAGCAAACACTCACCTTTTCATTGACGCTGTTTTGACAGCTCCTTAATATTCCAAACTGATTGTAATCAAGGTCACGCGCCAGTAATATTCTTACGTTAATAACGCAGCTTTTCGTGGTCGCTATTTCATAACGTTTTCGTCATCTTCATTCATACAGAGGTTCGTTCGTAAGTTTGTCATCTATATACTTCTTGACTTTTCTAGTTAGCGAAACAGCCAGTAACAGACCACGTTTTGTTTTTCAGAGGTCTGCAGTAAAGTTCATTGCGTAGCGTTATATCTTTAACGTTCTGTTTATAGAGATTGGCAGCTTATTAATAGCCTGGCTATTATGAACGAGAATCGCTTAAACGGAGCTCCCGCACTTGCCACGACCCACTTCACTGCGCTATGCTCGTTGTTCGACATATTTGTATTGTGTCCTGGTGCGCATGCTTATGTCAGAATTTCCACCTAACAGTAGCAAGCAAACTTGAGAAAGCGAGTTACGCCCCATCTAGTGTAAGTACTCTGTAGGTCTTCTCAAAAGAGACCGCTAGCGATATATGTCAACACTGTCTGTATTTGACAGGTGTGATATTTGACATTTGTGTATTTGACAGATAGTCTGCTAGGAACTGAAGTCTGTTCCACATTAATTTGTACAGGTGACGTTCGTCCCATACTCTACCCCAAATACTCCGACTAATCTAACCTGTTCTAGTCATATAGGCCCCCGGTCCTGCATTCCTAGGACTACCATTCACAACTGCTATCCTGACATGTGATTATGCCACGAGGGGCTGTACTCTCTGTCACAAGCCCCAATACACTAACCACTGTTATTCCATTTTTTATTGGTTTTGTCGGGGATGGGGCTATGTTTAGGCGACTTTCTTATGTAAATCAAATTGTCGATCAAACAAATTGTCGATGTCTCAAAGAGGTATGATACAGAAAACTGTACCACTCGATGCGAGAAGACCACAGATTCCACGGCAGCGTTATGTTGCGTAGTCTTTAACAGTGAATCCTGGATACCCTATATCAGGCCCTCGGAAAATATGTGTACTATTTTCCATCGCGAGAGAACAAAATGACCGTCTTATTTATTTGTGAATATCTAGTGAAAAATCCATCTTTGGCCCTGGTAGAGAGTAAATCTTTCGAGACTTATTTGTCAGCAAAGATGCGAAGATGGGGGGGGGGGGGGGAGGAAAACATTTTAAAAATGTTGGATTAAAATTGAACACAAGTGGGGGTGAAAAAAAAAAAAAAAAATGATCGAAAAAAACTTAAATAAAAATTTTTGATGAGGGAAAAATGGGGAGTTAACAAAACCCGCTTNATATGTGTACTATTCTCTATCGCGAGAGAACAAAATGACTGTCTAATTTATCTGTGAACATCTAGTGAAAAATCCATCTTTGGCCCTGGTAGAGAGTAAATCTTTGGAGACTTATTTGGCAGCAAAGATGCGAAGATTGGGGGGAGGGGGTAAACATTTTAAAATGTTCGATATAAAATGTACACAGATGGGGTGTAAAAATAAATAAAAAATGATCGATAAAAAACTTAAATATAAATTTTTGATGAGTGATAAATGAGGAGTTTAACAATACCCGCTTCTCTACCACAGGTCAACTAACACACCCAGACATCAAGTACAAGTGAAAATGTTTGAATGAAAATAAATCAAACTTTCGTGGAATTTGAAGATTAATTAACCTGCCGTGATGGGAGGTTACATTAATCTTACCCTCTACCAAGGCCACAGTCGATTGCTTTTTTCACTAAATATTCACAGATATGTCTTTAGATAAATTGATTGATTGATCTTTATTCCGTAATTTAAGGCCTCCGACCCAAAATACATGTGCAACTTCACCATAATTTTCCACTAGTAGTAATGTAATAATGTGCACTGAATAAATATGAACATATATCCATAATAGTCCTCTTTTTAAAGATTTTAATTGATTGTAAACGCTATAATAGTCATGTTCTTAATCAACACTGTGAATTAAACTCACTTCAATAGCAACAAATCTTTTCTCTCAATGCAAATGTACTAAAAACTTGCTAATGAGAATATGCCATCTTACTAATGTCAGACATAATCAAAGTAAATAATCGTTCATTTTTACTATGTTTTGTCCATTTTGTTATGAAATATCTCTCCCCCAAATCATACAACGGACACAGTAGTAGAAAGTGTACCTCGTTTTCTAAAGTATAAACTTTCTGAGTCAAATAATATGGGCAAAATCTACGGTCTTTTTCTATATTCATATGGCGTCCTTTTTCAATCATGAGACTGTTGCTTGAGCAGGGAAATTTTGATAAAGTACGTTTCTGTGTATAAGACAGTGGTAATGACAAATATCTTTCTGGATTTAAAACAGTTTTGTACTGTTTGTATAATGAGCACTTTGACGATGAGCTTATATCAGCAAATGACTTTTGTAATGCACAGTCTGTCACTCGTGCGTGAATTGGTTCATAAACTCTGTAGCATCTCCTAACTCATCCACGATCCAGGCATACATGTAGCTGAAACCATACTGGAAAAGGAGATGTTTCGCGTGGGTCGCCCACGTCGTCCTTCCTGCATAGACGTTCATTATGTTTTCTGTGANAGTAATGTAATAATGTGCACTGAATAAATATGAACATATATCCATAATAGTCCTCTTTTTAAAGATTTTAATTGATTGTAAACGCTATAATAGTCATGTTCTTAATCAACACTGTGAATTAAACTCACTTCAATAGCAACAAATCTTTTCTCTCAATGCAAATGTACTAAAAACTTGCTAATGAGAATATGCCATCTTACTAATGTCAGACATAATCAAAGTAAATAATCGTTCATTTTTACTATGTTTTGTCCATTTTGTTATGAAATATCTCTCCCCCAAATCATACAACGGACACAGTAGTAGAAAGTGTACCTCGTTTTCTAAAGTATAAACTTTCTGAGTCAAATAATATGGGCAAAATCTACGGTCTTTTTCTATATTCATATGGCGTCCTTTTTCAATCATGAGACTGTTGCTTGAGCAGGGAAATTTTGATAAAGTACGTTTCTGTGTATAAGACAGTGGTAATGACAAATATCTTTCTGGATTTAAAACAGTTTTGTACTGTTTGTATAATGAGCACTTTGACGATGAGCTTATATCAGCAAATGACTTTTGTAATGCACAGTCTGTCACTCGTGCGTGAATTGGTTCATAAACTCTGTAGCATCTCCTAACTCATCCACGATCCAGGCATACATGTAGCTGAAACCATACTGGAAAAGGAGATGTTTCGCGTGGGTCGCCCACGTCGTCCTTCCTGCATAGACGTTCATTATGTTTTCTGTGATAGAGAAGAGTACACATATTTTCCGCGGGCCTGGTAGGGGTTTCATTAATCCAGGCTCAACAAGAAGATCTTAGTCAAATTGCATGTTATTTGAATACACATCTAGGGTCAGTGTAGGGCCGTGCTAGATGAATTATGATAAAACATTGGACGTTCATCTACTTTATATAAATATATATTAAACTGAGACAGCCAACACAGCGACTCTGACATGAAGGGTACTGTCAGGATTAGCCCCCAAACTCCTTATCTACTGCCTTATTCGTTTTTTTTTTTTTTTGGGGGGGGGGGATAATCGATAAATCTTTAATTTTCAGTTAGTATATTTCTTAGCATTTACACAAATGTGATCTTACCGATGACGTCATAATTGCCATTTTCGGGCAAAAAAAAAAGCAATAAAGGTTTCCCAAATCTCTCCTTTACCTGAGCACCCATGAACACCGTTTTAGAGTCAATTTAATGACAAAACACCATTGAGTACTTCAAAGCCCTGCCGGCGAATTTTCGTAAAAGCCTTAGTTCAGGTTTTATCGTAAATAAGGCAAAAAAACCCTTTGTTCAATGATGAATTGTAATGAGGGGGTTATAACTCCACGACAAAAACCTTTAAACTAAAATGACGGTACGGGATTGAAGCCCCTACATTTGTTGTCACCTATGCCAATTTTCGTGATAAGATGTTGTTCAGGGATGAAGTCTCGAAATAGATACGTTTTAAAATGACGCTTTGGGGTGTCTATGCTTATCCTCATCAATGCGAAATATAAACGCCGTCATTTTATATTTTAGAGGTAGTTTCAGTTGTTTTAATCATTAAATCATTAGATGATTATTAAATAATTAGTTGCAGGGAGATATTAAACAGAATAACACGCTTTCTTCTGGCGTAGAATAAAGAAAAGCTGATGATTGATTATACGATTACGTTGGAAACAAGAGGAGGCGTGTTTACCTGTTCAACAGATTGAATTCAGCGACAGTCCCCTTAGAGTTGGATCGATCTACGTAGAACGATAGCTTCTATGGGAATGAGCACTTATAGTTTAACTCCGTAAAGTAGGCGTAATGCCTTGGCTTCTGAATGAAGTGACCACCATTATGTAAAGGTGGGCGGCATTGTGGGTTAGAAATCACTGCTCAGTCAAAACGGTGACAAGAATGAGATTAAAAGATAAATTCGATCTGATGAGTATGTCTAAATTTTACTGAATATTATAAAAACTAACTATGATTAAGAAATGTTTTACTTTCTTTCAGGTATTAGGCAATCACGAGTTTGATAATAAGGTTAGCGGCCTTCTTCCTTTTCTTCAAAACGTCACATTCCCTGTAATAAGTGCTAATATCGACGCCAGTAATGTTCCAGAAATACAAGGGCTGTTCAACAAGTCAACAGTATTAGATGTGGCCGGAGAGAAGATAGGGGTTGTCGGTTGCACATATAGGGCCACACCGACCATATCAAGCCCAGGTAAAACCTTCCCTACTCAAATAAGAAAATGAGCACTTTACCTGTCCGTAAAGTGACTTAAAAGTGTCACTTAATTATTATTCTTATTCTTATTACACTATTACATTGTGTTATTTAGCCTACTATTATGTATACATAAGTATTAAAGTATCTATCTATTGATAAGTTGTCCTGCAAATCTTAATATTAATTTTCACTCTACAATCAGTCCTGCTGATGTGTGGGTGCCCACACAAAGTGAAAACCGTGAGAGATGTGACGCGTTCAATTGGCCTCAGTCTTAAAACCTGGATTTAAAAAGCAATTTCAAGATAAAGAAGAGACTTGTTGATTTCAACACTTGACAATATTTTTATGTTATTCTTATGTTATGTTTTTCCAGGCAACTTGATTTTTACCGACGAGGTTTCGGCTGTTCAAGCAGAGGTCGAAAGGTTAACGTCACAGGGTATCAATAAAATCATTGTATTGGGACATTCTGGGTTTTCTGTGGATAAAAAGATTGCTGAACAAGTGTCAGAAGTGGATATAATCGTTGGCGGACACACTAACACATTTCTTTATACCGGTAAGTAAATGTCTCTCTCTATCCCTCTCAAAAAGAACCCAATTCAACGCAAAATATCAGTTACGGTATCTTTATAAAAAGTTAATCTCTCTCTCTCTCTCTCTCTCTCTCTCTCAATAGACACTTCAATACTAGTGTAAAAATATCTAATGATTTGTGCACAGGTACCCCGCCAGATAAAGAAATTCCAGAAGGCGAGTATCCAACCGTTATAACCCAGGCGTCTGGTGGCAAAGTGTTATTGGTTTCTGACTTTTGGATGGCTAAATATTTGGGGCACTTACGTGTAACATTCGATGCAGCGGGAATTGTGACAGCGTGGACTGGTAACCCCATTCTACTGGATAAAAACATTACGGAAGGTAAACCTAATATTTAACTGTTTGCTGTTATTATTTTTCAAGTTCTAAGGAAAATATAACGTTATCCACTTTTCTGCAAAATTGTAAACGTTACGGACTTTGAAGTTCCACGGGCTTGAAGACCCAAGCTAGTCACATTTTCTGAAAATCCATGATACGTATATTTTATTATTAAAAATTGACGGTCATTATGCTGTTAATCATTATGTAATATGGCATCAGAATAGAAGAAAACACAATTTTGGGTGCTGCTGCCATGATGACCATTATGGGAAAACCATGTTACTTATGATTGCCAAACTTTCAAAAAAGAAATACAGGACTAAAATGCAGCCTGAGTTGGAAAAGCAGTCTAATTGGCTTCTTTTTCAGTTATACATTTTCAAAGTGTGAACTTGTTACACATTTGACTTACATTGGTATTACCTGTTGAGCATAATTAAAATTTGATGTTGAATTTGCAGTTTAACATAATGTACTTTTGCATCAGAATTGACAGTAGCCTATTTTGTGCATAGTTATTTCCTGTTTTTGTCTGTACATTTGACAGCTTTGCTGCCTTGTTGTTTCCTCTTGGTTCAAACCGAGTGAGAACTTGAAAGCAATTTTTGTTTGCATTTTCACTTGGTTTTTAAGCCAAGACACACGCTTAATAATGCATCTCCTCGTGAACCTAAAGGACAAAAAGAACGATACCTTTGATATTAATAATATACTCTTGTTCAAATGGGAAAATAACTGATTCCACCATGAAAACGCATTACTACGGGGTTTTCTTGAGATATATTATATATTTTTATTTCTCATTTTAGATAATGCTACCCTAACAGAGATGCAGCCGTGGCAACAACGAGTTACAGCATATGGTTCACAAAAGATAGGCTACAGCCTGGTCTTCATGGATAATGCGAAATGCCGCCTGGCTGAATGTGTTTTTGGTAAACATATGTGATATTACTTCTTTAAAATATCAAAAATATAAAACAACATCAAAAATATTTTGTAACTATTAAGCATACTGAATATCAAATTGCTAATGTTTTTTTTTTCTAATATTCAGTGTTGCTTGGGCAGATTGGGACTGAGGGGCTTTAAAATTGTCACCAATTTTTTATTTTGGTTGAGTCTGGACAACTTCATGAAGTTTCATGAGAAGTTTCTTCGTTCGGCTGTCAAATTCTCTACCATAAAAAAAATCGAACAAAATAGAGATATGCATCATTTTCCTTCACGTTTCCCAGGTAATCTGATAGCAGACGCCTTAGTTGACACCTACTTGAAACCCACTGATGGAACGAGATGGACCAATGCCTCCATTGGCCTGTGGAACAGCGGCGGGATACGAGCACCAATCGATATTGGTATTTCTAACCACTCCCGTCATCCTCTGCAGAACCGTTTTTTTTACGACCGAACTAATTTAGTAACCTGTTGCAAAATGTGCCTTTGCACCTCTCTTAATTGCTTCTACGCTCACGTGATGTTCGTTTATTGTGTTTGTTTGTTTTTTTTTTTTTACATTGGCAGTTTTATTTAGTTTATCCATCGATTCATTGACAGACATGAATCTCGTCTAACAATATTATATTTGCGTATAAATTTTAATGAATATTCATGATATCTCTCTTACAATCTCTCTCCCACACAAAATGTACCAGAATTTGTCTTTGTGGTAATATAGCAAATAGTAAGCAGTGCTCGTGAAAATATGTTGGAACGATTATTCATTTTATGATGAATTGGTTCGCCATTTTATTATAACTATTATGAATATCATCACAAAATGATTAATTTTTGATTCACTAGGTGACATTTACGTGTCAGACGTACTGAGTGCCGCACCATTCGGTAATGGTGTAGACATCGTCAGGATAAGTGGAAGTACGCTTTGGGAACTCATGGAACATTCTGTTTCTGAATACGAGAAGAGAAGCGGTCGTTTCTTACAGGTCTCAGGTAAGACGTCTCATACATGTAGTTAAATGGACAATTGCTTTTGTAGAGACAAACATTTTCATGGTATGCCTATATAACATGCTTTAGACCATGGCAAAATAAGTGTGCTGGTGTAAGGGCATACCTAATACAGTGTATAGCGTGCAAAAAATTATTATCAACAAATGACGTATTAGGTCACTAGCGCATTTTCCATTCTATTGCCAATTGTCAAATTGTAAACTTTTGGATCGGCCACCGGTGTCATAAATGTAATAACTTTATCTTTACTTTAAAGTTTTAGAGTCATTACATATGTATTTATCTTCAGGTCTTCGAGTTGTGTATGACCTGTCTAAGCCAGTGGGCCGTCGAGTGGTCAGCATTGACGTCAGGTGCGCTGACTGTACAGTCCCCGAGTTCCAGCCCCTTGTTAAGACAAAATCATACGATGTGGTCACCAACACTTTCTTAATGGGGGGAGGAGATGCATATGACGTTTTGAAAGAGAACATTTTATATCCGTATGGAATAGGTAGGTCCTGCGTATGTTTTCGGTTTAAAGCAAGAAAAGAAAAGGAAAATACCAGTTAAAATATTTTATACTAATAATTCTTGTTTAATAAAGGTTTTGATATCAATTTAGAATGCCAGTATAAAAACCTCTTGGGTGATTTTTTTAATTAGTAGGTTTTTCACAGGAATGAGTTGTCGTTGTCAGCCTGCTGGCTTTAAGCTAATTATAGCGGTATTTAAAACCCTGCATTGCGCAGACCTCGTTCGTGCATATTACTAGAGCAAGAGTACCCCCGGTACGAAGGATGTTCAGCGAGAAACCGCTGTATGTAGGGTGACTGACAAACGATTTTTCACAGCTTCGAGAACTGTTAAATTAATGTTTGCTTGTCCATTTCTCGTTTTTGTAATTTTGCTATTCTTTGAATTTACGATTCCAGACAGCCTAGATTCAGATGTTATAATGGACTTTATCCAAAAGTACTCTCCGATATATCAAGGATTAGAAGGCCGAATCAGGATGTCTTCAGAAGAAATGTCGTGTACAACCAGTAAAGCATTCACACTTGCACCAACATTTATGTTGATATTGTTTGCACTGACATTAAGAAAATGCTTTAATGTCGTTTTACTTTAAAGATGGGATTTGTATTAGAGACTTTTGGCGTTTTCGAGTGAAATGCACATATACCGGTAGTGATAGACAAAAACGTACGCCAGATTTGTAAATATCAATGCTCTAGATAGAAATGTATCGTGTATAGATGTTTATATAAAGAAAAAACTTTGTAGACGCACAATTCATTGTATTGTTTCTATGCAAAAAATATTCTAACATTTGTGTATTTGTCACTGACTTTATCGAACCACAACCAAACAAACATGTATGCGCAAAAAAATAAATAAATAAATAAATAAATCTTGCGTAGTGCTTCAAATTTAGAGCAACTGTGCCATGGGTGGATTCGGCCTTAGACAAACAAAACGTTTAGTTTTATTCATCTAAGAACTGGGTGAGAAGTCCTTTGTGCTATATTGCCCCCCTCCACTTTCAGTGATCCACTTTCAGATGACAAGTTTTTGAACGAACGAACTCTGACAAGCTCTTAAATCTCGTCCCAGTCCGACCCCTGTCTCAACGCTTGACATTCAATACCACGATAACTTCATCACAAAATTGCACCCCCTTCAAGTGGCGTTCTGGGCATGTGCCCTACACCTTCCATGTCACCTCCTAGATACACCATTGCTCACATCAAAGGTGTTTAAAGTTTTTTATGCACGCCGGTGTCTCAAAATCTGGCGTCGACTTTATTTTGTAGTAGCGAAACGTTTGTCGCCAAGTCATCAAATATGTAAGGGAACACCTCCGCTTTTTGTATTGAAATTCGGGTGTAACAGCAAAATGAAGAGAAAATACAACATGGTTTACTTGCTTGAATTATTCAGGAGAAAGAGCCACACACTCGCGCAAGGGTGAGGGACCCCAGCAATATTATGAAAGCCATACAATGCGCATTAGTCTCTTTTAGAACACAAATTAATCAATTATTTCTATATATCCTAAACAAGACTGGTTTTTACCGTCACGACTGAAATTCAACCACCTTTATCTCCATTACGTGAAGTAAAAGTACAGGTAAAAGTAATAAGTAGAAACAAAATCCTCGAAAATAGTCCAGGAATTTGGTTAAAAATTGTGCATTTTTGCTCACAAGCATGAAATTTGGCACAGTTGTTGACAATGAAATTCTAAGCAATTGTGGATATATGGGCATGTCTGAAAATTCCAAAATGGCCGCCAAATCCAAGATGGCCGTCGAAAATACCCTTTTAAATAAAAACGTCAAGTACATAGTCTTTAAATGGCTTCATATAAAGGTTAGAAAGCACCATGGTATGTATTCAGCATCAAAATCTGCTTCTTCAGGTGTATAATACCAATAATGGCCGCTAAAAGTAAAAAAGCAGTCCACTTATTCAAGATATCCATTAGATTGGTGAATTCACCATGCACTTAAAACTGTAAAACATTGTAAACTGTCAGAGGGTTTTATTAATAGGAGGAACAATAATAAAAATATTACTGATTCACTTGTACAGTTGTTTTAACACTTAAGTTACTTATTATCCTGTGAGGTTAAGAGATTACTGATAAGGTAATTATGCTCATTGTTCCTCCTACTTGTGTCTCAAACTGAGGCACTCACTCAAAGTTTTTTTACACAGAGCACAGTTCAATACTACTGGTTGCATTATGTAAATGAATTTTAGTAAGGTTCAAAACAAGAATTAATAAATTGAATGTTAGTTTTTAGAAAAATATTGTTTGTCCTAAATAAAACTATAAATTATAAATTGAGTTAATAAATTCACTGAGATACTTAGATCCCACGATATTTTGAGGAATTCTGATCACCCAGTATCTTCTTGAAATCTTCTCATTTCATGTGGTGTGTCTAGAGCATCCAGTGGAGTGACATTCGTCAAGTTCCAAGTAACAAACTGGCCTTCAGCGAGTGGTTCATTGATTGGATTGTTATGTGAGAGGGTGTAGTGTGAATCTATGACTCCTGTTCTCTCAAATATACCCTGAAACTTGCTTTGAACAGTCTCTCTGTGGACAGTCTTCCTTCCTCAACCCCAGTTGCAATAGTTTCAGCTCCACAGAGGAGGTTGCAAGTATTCCCTTCCATGATTACCTGTAGGAGCACCATAGTTGATTAGGCTGCTGGTTGTGCTGCTGTTGAAAGGCTTTACCTCATACTCGGGTGCTGGTTCCGCCCTGACCCATGCTCAGTCTGGTCAAGCTGGTCGCAGTCTGTGAAGAAACCTTCCATATCCTCCTCATTGGTCACTTCTTCATCCGGCTCTTGTTTAACTAGGATGCCCAGGAGGGCACTGCCTGTGTGTGGTGGTTGTCTAAACACAACTTCATATGGTGATTTAGCTGTTGTGGAACTAACTGTGGTGTTGAGGGTATATGTTACATACTGAAGGCCGTCAACCCATGATTTGTGGGGATTTTCTTCTACCCACTTCCCCAACTTCAACAGTAAATCTTCATTTTCCATTTCAACTGTGGCAAGTTCATCAAACAACTGTATAGAAAACTCCCTGCCATCATCTGACTGCAAAATTCTAGGTGGACCGAAAAGACAGAAAAGTGATGTTAACTTTTCTGCAACTTCTGAAGCGCATTTTGATGAGAGTGCATATGACCAACTAAATTTAGAGAAGTGGTCTCTCAGATAGAGGATCCACCTGTTCCCATGATGCTCCCTACTCGACATGTCAATCAGGTCCATATATAGATTGGTCATAAAGCCGATGGAAATGATATCTTTTCCCACAGATGACTTCTTTAGGGCTAGTCTGGTTAAGCAATCCGTGCACGTGCTCAGATACAACTTCACAGTATCTGCACGGATTCCAGCATAATATTTCTTGACTTCTTCCAGGTTTTGTCACGTCTACAGTGTCCAACTCTTAAGTGGCACCTTAAAGCAAAATATGGATTTTCACATTATTTCTTCAATACATAACTAAAACCAAAGTAACCAAAAATACATATATGTGACGCCATTGCCAATCATCAATTTCAGTCTTTGGAAAACCTTAAGTAAGACTGTTTATTAATTGTAAATAAAAAAAAGATGCATGTTAAATCAAATGTAAGTACGTAAATGAGGTAGTTTTTTTTTAATCAAGAACAATTTATATAGGGAAATACACCCTTTTGCATCTACTTTTCATGTGATAATTGAGAAATAGTAGATAATATAATATGAAATATAGGAGAAAAATGTAGATTTCCTCATTAAATTAAACAAATAACCCTATTCATAAGATTGAGCTTATTAATGAAACTATTTACTTGGATTACAAGTAGAATCCACTACCATAACTGCACTTACACATGTATGTATAGTATTCTTCAATTAGTGCTGACTTTATTTATTTATTTATTTATTTATTTATTTATTTATTTTTTTTTATGGCTTAATCAAAAATCTTAATCATACCTGGTATATGGGTTTTTATATGCATAACTGCCATTCATTTTCAAACCAATTGATGCTAATATACATGTAATTTATAAAAGGGCGCTTACATCTTTATACTGGAAAACAGATCTTCTTTAGGTACTACAGGTGTGGATGTCTTCTTGCAGTATAAAATTTTGCGAGATCCAATTTGTTGAAGCTTGAAACGTTTCGACGCCCAGAACTTAAAATTATTTCCATCCGAGCACTTGACACCCCTGTCCAGTTGCAATGCAGTGACTGCTTTATCATAGCACTCTTGAGTAATACAGTGAGTGTTGCGTTTTCTATGGTCGAATATGAGCATCCAGCAACTTGTAAAATTCAGCTCGCTGCTCTTCGTGATGCAAATCTTGCTCCTCTTTCACTTCCATCCTTAGACGCTAATATCTGTCGGAATGAAAACTGAGAAAAACCAGGTCATGCTTTTCTAGCAATCAGTGTCATTGATCTCAATGTACAAATCACTTTGTATCAAAGATTGCATTATTACTAGTATAACCATCACCCTGATTCCATATTGCATATTTACTGGCTTAGGAATCCAAACTGATGAATCAGCCACTGACCTAGGACAAACAGCGATTGTTCTAGGGCAGATCAGACTGATTGCCATCTGGTCTAGGAAAATCGATGATTATACTGAATCGCCATCTGTCCTGAGACATTTACATGACACTTTGCAGGTACCTTGTGGAAGTTGTGAATGAAAAGATAAATACAACTCTCTTTCTAGTAGAAGTTGAGAAACTGGGCAGTATCTCACCGTACTAAGTAGTGTAAAAATAGCCGATGGCCTCAATGTGTTAGTTGAGAAGAGGCGATTATGATTGCCTTAATACTTCTTTTTGTCCCAATTCCGTGTCATTCGCCATTGGTTGAAAGCGGGAGAGAGAAACATCAGTATCGCTGACGATGTACAGTATAATGTAACCAAGGGAGATTTCGCTTTGACAGATTTGAATACAGGTTTCCCTGGCTAACAATCTTACATGACACATACACACATCTCTGACCACAGGGTGCGCTTGTCGTCTGTTTCAAAAATGTTGAGAAGCCCCCAGTGAAATTTCGTGTATAATTTAAGGGCCCTCTGACATAACAACTCTTTGGAGAGTAGGCCCTATCGATGGCCCTCCAAATATCTATCAGCTGAAATAAATAAGGGGAATAGCCCTCACTACTTAAGCATGCAATCTTCAAATCCATTTTATGAAATAAAAAAAAAGAAAGAAATTCATTTTAAAACATGAAAGTCAAACAAAAATGCAATAAGCACATGGATATTACATATGCCACAGACACATTCCCTATGGAACGTAAACATTAAAAAACGATTATGGTAACACTCTTAAATGCAAGACAGTTTTCTCCTTTTTTCCATTACAACACTGAAACACAATGTATTGAATGAAGAGATGAAAAAATCTTTCTGTCCGTTCTGCACATACAGATCGCAGGTGAAAACTTTGGAGGTCCAGTAGCCCCGAGTTCCTAGGAAATAGACGTTGGCCTAGTTTGACTCCTTTTTCAACTACAAATGACCTTAGCGACTCATAAACCAATATCCGAGAACTAAACATCTGTTATAAAGCCTATAAAAGGATTGCCAGAGGTTTAATAACCGTTTGCGGTTTGCAGAAGAGGAGGAGTGAAAATGAAAAATGAATTAATGTCCCTTACTTTACTAGGTCATACCGTGTAAAACTTAACCTGTCTTTTTTATTATTAAGTTATCACACAGTCTTTAGTGATGTTATCACAGCGGTCACAAGGGGAATGCCCCACAAACACATTGGCATAGCGTTGTTTTGTTACTTTGCACACACGACACAAATAAGACGGTGACGTGCTTCACGGTCATAGAGCAGCAAAGTTAGATAAATAGCCTGACTGGGCTTTTTAGGATTTTTAGCATTAGTAGCACAATAAACTGTACCTTTTACTGTACATCCATTGAAAATATGGCAGGGGCTATGAAGGAGATGGTGGTAATAAGCATGTGTTTAACACTAAGCTATGGGTTTAATTTGACTATTTTACACACCAACGATGTTCATGCACGGTTTGAACAGTTTGACAAGTATGGAGGCAGGTGCTCGGAAACAGAGGCAGAAGCGGGGGAATGTTTCGGGGGAGTGGCAAGAAGATACACTAAAATCGAGGAGATCCGTAAAGCAGAACTTAACGTGATTTTGCTGGACGCTGGAGACCAGGCTCAGGGCACGCTGTGGTTTTCTATGTTCAAAGGAAAAGCGACGGCACACTTTATGAACGAACTTGGATACGATGTAATGGTAAGAATAATCTTAGGGTCGATAAAGGCATTTACCGAGAGATTAATTGTCGTTCAGTTAGAAGGCGTATTAGAATATTCTTTTTACTTCCTGAAAATAGGCTCAATAAGGATAATTTTATTTTATATCACCCGTCGTTTCTTAAACACCTTATCAGCGATAAGCATCTTATCAGCGACTTGACACTCATTGAGTTCACAAGCCTTCACACGTCTACGCACTGGACGCACGGTACACGTTTTGTGTCACCTTTTCTACATGTATCACGGAGCTTTTCAGTGTATTTTTAAAACACTGTTTATCTTACACTCCTTATCGGAGAACATACAAAATGAGATAATATGGTGACACTATTTGGAGACACATGTAGTCACTCCCTCATATCATATCATACATATCGGTAGGCCTACAATTTTTAAGTAAATTTTAGCATGAGCGTTCGTACATGTACGTGTGTTTGGAGAGAGAGAGAGAGAGAAAGAGCACTGATCGACCGGGGTACATTTACAAAAGGTGGGTCCGGCTACAACCTGCGGAACCATCCCAACTGTCCTCATGCATGCGGAAATGCGCTTTTAAGATTAACGCACCTTCTTTTCTTCGATGTCAAAGATAAGGCGAATCTTGCAAAAAAAAAAAAAGGCGAGTCATTGCCGTCCCTTAGGCCTTTTAGTCCACAAAAGACACATCTTTTCATGTAAACAGCGACATGCCAGACGTTACCTTGGGTCGCGGTGCTGTCACCATGTTCCTCCATTATTACAGTATTATTATCTATAAATTGACAGTTGGCATATATTTCTGTGCTACTGTGCAATTATTGCGAATTTTCAAATGTTCACATGTTATGTTTCTTCTTTCACCTAATTCCCTGGTATTGCAGGTGAGTCAGTGTTTATCATGCTTGACCACTTTTATATGGAAAACTGCATGTCACATTATACACGCCAGATATAGTACACAATAGGTGTGACATTAGATCATGTTATTCACCTTGCATTCTATCCGATACAGTATTATCAACTTTCCACCTTACCATTTTTTTTCCATTGAAACAAGCCTCACGTTCCCTTATGGGTCCATGGCGTTATGTACTATGGGTGTTGCAGCATTGCCGAAAATGGCAACAATGGGTCTGACATTCCATTCATTTAGGCTCTTTTCGTTATATGTTATGCACTAACAAGTCATACGTATCTTTTGTGACATTTAAAGATTTAAAATTCGATTCTACAGAGAGAGAAAGAGAATGAGCGAACGTAAGCGCGCGCGCGCGTGTGTGTGGTGGATCCAGCCTTTTGGCATTTAAAAATATTGGAACAATGAAAAAAGTCCATTCCAGGTCTACATCTATTCGCATCCTGCGGGTGGGGTTGATTTCAATAACTTGGACATTAAGACAGGGAAAACTTTGTTTTTATCAAATTTTGAGTCTTTGGGTTTTTACATATGTATCTTTCTATTTATCTCGGACAAAAAATCTATGCAATCTCGTTTGAAATAATATTGTCGTTATTTTTTATCAGATAAATAAATCAATGATGTATTCTCGACAGACTATGTCATTTGTGGCAAATAGATATTTTTATGTGAAAACACATCAGTACAGTATATAATTTGTAGCAAATGGATATGTTTATGTGAAAAATGCATTGGTAAAGTATAGATAATCACATATCATGGGTCTTTCGTGGCCAGTTACAACGCCTAGTAAAAGTATACCCTAATATTTTGGCATTGTTTAACGCCGTCTGTAGATACAATCGGGTTATAAATCAGACAAGCCAGACAGCTAAACACGCTTAGGAATTTTTGAATAAATAAAATTTTCTTGCTGTAGATCGAAATTGATATGAAAGTTTTAAAAACAAGTTATGACATGGACGACACAGCTTACCTGAAATAATTTTCATAGTTTCTTCTGACAACGGAGTTATCTCTACTACAATATCCCAATGCAGAACAAGACACCTTTTTAAAGAACTACGATTGTTGTTATTGTAGCCTCTTCCTAATAAAGGCGTCTTTTTAAGCAGTTAAATATTGGAATGGGAATAACTTAAACTGTTGTTTGAAAAAATATAATTTTAAATTTTATTGCAAATTCTTTGCTGGATTTCTCATTTTTCCCGTGTAGTCTTATACGTATACAAAGCCGCCTCAGTTGTTACAGAAAAGGAAAAATGAGAACAAATGTTTGATTTGAGAAATCTTTGTAAAGTGTGATCTCTCTATCTCTCCCTTTCTCTCTCCATTATTGATGCAATGAATTAAATCCAATAGCCCTAACATGATTAATTACACTCTTAGATAAAAGATAGACGTCCCTGTTTTATTTGTTTTTATTTTTTGCTCTTCAGACATTAGGCAATCACGAGTTCGACAACGGTCTTGATGGTCTTGCGCAATTTCTTGAAAACGTCACCTTCCCAGTAGTAAGCTCTAATATCAACGCTGCTAATGTTCCAGAAATGAGAGGACTGTTCAATAAATCCACAGTGCTAACTGTTGCTGGTGAAAAGATAGGGGTGATAGGATATACTACTACAGACACACCCACTATTTCAAGCCCTGGTAAGAATTTGTATAATAAAAATCGATAAACAGACACCTGTTTGGTTATTTAGGGCACATTTGATGAAGAGATTAACCAGAAAGCATTTCTGAAGTAACTGACACGCGATTTTTGAATAAGCCCGATATTTCTCTTCATCAATGACAAATCTTGTGTGAATTGTTTGACGAGATATCGGGGGATAAATTACTTATTTTTTCCTTTCATGAAAGATGTATATGCTGATGCCTCGTGCAATACACTTATTCTGAACGGTTTATCAATAACATGATGCCTTTACTAGGCTGCGTATTTAAGGCGTCATATTTTAATTCATTCATTTGAATGAGAGAATAGTTTCATTAGCTCTGTATGTATCAATTCAAATTGTTGTTTTTCTTTTTATCAAGAGCTTGTAAAATATGTGGGTATTACCTCCAATATGAAATGACCTTAGTCATTTACTCCCTGATGATGGTGACTGACAGTCACAGAAATATTGGAGGTAATATCCACATACTTTACAAGCTCTTGATAAAAAGAAAAACAATAATTTGAACATTCATTTGAAGTTTATCGAGATTGCAGAATCAAAGAGCCCATACATCCGCCAAATCTAGCCATGGGAGCGACTAACATATGCTTATATTGTACTCATTGAACAAAGAGATTAAAAAAAATATTGTGAACATTTCACTTGGATTTTCTTAAGGTGCCTTGATATTCACCGAAGAGGTGGCTGCAGTTCAGGCAGAGGCTGACAAGTTGACGTCACAAGGCATCGATAAAATCATCGCATTGGGGCATTCGGGGTTTCCTGTGGATAAGAAGATCGCCGAACTTGTCACGGGTGTGGACATCGTCGTTAGTGGGCACACAAATACATTTCTTTATACTGGTAAGTTTGCATTTGAAATAGAATTCTTTTGTAAAATCTACCCTAATTTTTAAAGTAGCGCACTGTACTGTTTTTTCCTTTTTCTTCTTTGAAAGTAAACCCTTATATTCTAACCTATTTTGAAGATATGATTCTTCCATTTTGTTTTTATATTGTTTATTTGTTTATCTTATCGTTATTATTATCTTAAAACATGTAACTTAAAGATTGTTCTATGATTTTAATAACGTATCAGGGACCCCACCCTCAACAGAAGTTCCTGAAGGTGAATATCCAGTTGTGATGACACAATCAGGCGGGAGAAAAGTGTTGATAGTCTCTGATTTCTGGTTGGGCAAATATCTAGGTCATCTAGCAGTGACGTTTGATGACGCAGGGGAAGTTACGTCATGGAATGGTAATCCAATCTTATTGGATAAAACTGTTCCTGAAGGTAAATTATCTGCAATGAATTTTTGTGTTGAATTGATGCGTTCAAGTACCTCAATGAAAATACTGTAAGTTACATTGTACCCTGCTTCACATGCATGTATGAATATGTGTCGAAAAGTCCATTAAGTAACAATCACGGGGGAAATGTGAGTTTTGAAGGGTTACATCAAACTACTAGTGCAACACACATTAACTTATTTTATGCCAGCAGAGACCACATAACGGTTCCACAGTTATATTCTTTTTCTGCCAAGGCTTCACTTGTGTTGAAAATTGCTGTGATTTTCACAACATTTGGATTTTAAAAATGGCTATCCCAGATACTTGATACCAGGGGCGGATCTAGGATTATTTGGAAGGGGGGTCCAGAACGACAGGCCTTGGATGCGAAGCCGACCATCGCCCCTTGTTTTGGGGTTTGGGTCCTACTCAAGGGCCCCGAAATTTTTGGTGTTTTGGAGAGCAAACAGGGCCCTTTGGTACGGTTAAGAAATGTGATTTAGCTAGTCAACATTCTAATTTCAAGAGGGGAATATTGGTGTGATACATTTTTCAGAAACCGAAGGCCTCCCTCACCCCCCACCTCTAAATCCACCACTGGATACCCTTTATAGCTTCCAACATGCATGTATATTGTAATAGTCATTATAATGCCTATCAAAGGGAGACTTGCACTTAAATAATAAAAAAAAAGCAGTGAATATAAGTTTTCACTTTGTGTTTAATATTAAATCATGTTTTAAGTTGGCTTGTACTGTCTTCTTCTGTCAGACAATGCTACCCTCACTAAGCTGCAGCCATGGAAACAACAGGTGACTGAATTTGGTTCAAGGCAAATCGGATCCTCACTAGTGTTACTAAATGACACGGGTTGTAAGTTCAACGAGTGTAGTCTAGGTAAGTGTCCTTTGTTCGTCTTGCAAGTATATAATTTATGGAAATAATTAGAATATTGTCACTGAACAGTTAAATGAAACCAATTTTCTTATGCTTTATAGATGAATTGATTTTTTCTTAAAATTGACGTCGTTTCTTTGTTAAATAAAAACTTACAGGAAACTTGATGGCAGACGCATTAGTTGACAAATATCTGAAGCCTTCGGACGGTTCAAGATGGACAAATAGGTCTATTGGCATCTGGAATAGTGGCTCATTTCGTGCACCTCTTCGCGTAGGTGAGGTTTCCACATCTTAAGCTTTTATGACCATTTATTCACTTTCTCGGTTATCATCAATTTTACTTCAATTCTTTTCATAAATACATGTACATGCATTTGATTAATTTAGTGCATTGCAGAATTAGAAACATTTCTTCTTCGTTTTATATATAATCTTGATTTCCGCAAAATTAAAAGAGGCTAAATGCTAATTCTAATTGTTTTTATCTCCAGGTGATATACTTGTGTCGGACGTCCGAGGTGCTGTTCCATTTGGAAATGGAGCTGATATTGCCCAGATATCTGGAAGCACACTATGGGCAGTCTTGGAGCATTCAGTGTCTAAATACGAGGAAAAGGTCGGCCGCTTCTTACAAGTCTCAGGTAAAGCAGACCTAGGCCTTAGTTTTGATATTGTATTTTAGTTTGTGATGGTTTTAACAGAATACCTCGAGGACACACATGCGGGTGCGTGACAGTTGGAGATATATCAAGTAATTGTAGAATCTCTCCTTGTCACCAAAACCATAAATTTTCCCGAAACTAAGCGTTAATCTGGCATTTGCCGTAAGAACATTTTTTGTTTTGTTTCTTTTAAAGAGCAAGAGATTATAAATCAAAACCTTTACTTTTCACAAAAGATATTTTGACAATGCATTGAAAGTCCACATCATTCGTGTTCACGTCTAGGGCTAAGAGTTGTGTACAATATCTCCAAGCCGGTCGGAAGCCGCGTGGTCAGCGTTGACGTCAGATGTGCGGACTGCATTGTCCCCAAGTTCCAGCCCCTCATAAAGACCAAAATATACGAAGTAATCACTAGTTCATTCATCTTAGGAGGGGGTGACGATTATTCGGTATTGAGGGACAACATCGTGTATCGATACGGGATAGGTACGTACGGAACGAATTAAAACGCTAGGATTATCCCGGTTTATAGTCTTCTGATTATTGTGTTAACTCTTTTGTTATTTTAGGACAAATAATTTATTCTTAATATAAACGTTAATGTTGCTTAAACGAGAAAATTGTTGTAAGAGGTTCATTTGATTTCTCTCCCTGTTCTACACGAGATGCCGTTGCTTGAGGAAAACCCCCGTTGTTACAGTGGAGCCCACCTGATTTGCACAGAGCAGACTGCAATCACACCGCATCGCATCTGAGCCCTGTTTTATTGCCAAAGAGTTACTCCTACGTAGTTCCTCCTTTTGCTTTCCTGTTTCTTTTTTTATCTGGCCAATTACCGTTGCTAAAAGAGCACTTTACAAGTTTTGAAAATGCAATCGTAAACTGGCTTGACACTTTAAATGCATGTAACCTCTGATATGAGGGTCCCGTAAAATACTCTCCAAAATCACGCTGCTTTTCAACAATTTTGTAACTGGCTGCTAGTGCACCTTGTGGTCAGAGAGTAAAATGCATGTATATTTCAGATACTTTGGATGCCGATGTCTTAATGGACTACATCAAAAAGTACTCTCCGGTTTACCATGGTGTGGAGGACCGAATTAAATTCGTCACTGGTTCAGTCCAGCCTTGTAGCAACAACCAGGCATACGCAGTCGTTCCGACGTTCACGTTGATTTTGTTTGCTTTGTTCTTTATGGGGAATTGTTAAAATTTCACATCCGTCACAACTTTGCGCTTACAACACTGAAGTCTCCAAGCCTTTTTTAAAGGCAAAAGAAAAAAAAATCAGGAAAACACGAGGAATGGACACGTCATGTCAAGAATTACTGAGCAGATTAGTCTTTTCTCTTCTTTGATGATGATGATTTTAAATAAAGAAACATCGATGTATATATGCACGCGAATTGGAGGATGTCATCGTTGTTTACAATATTGTAAAATCTGCTGAATTAGTTTCTGGACCAATCTACTTTTAAGTGTTTGGTCTTACGTGTTAAAAGTGTGACAAAACCCATGTAGGGTACAATAGCAGCTAGTGAGCTTCCCTTGTCATATACTCTAGGCATCGGATGGTTTCTCTTGAAACACTTTAACATTATTTTCATGGCTACATGGTGTTTTGCCTTTTGGCAATCTTAAGAAACCTTGTAAGAATTACTGGAATTGACTAAGTCGTTAAACAGCCCACAGTTCAAACTTGATCCTTAAGGTTTACCACTTGAAGCCATTCATATGAACTTAAAGATGCATATAAAGCCAATTTTTTTTTGCCACAAAAGCCAACCAAATGCCAGCATATAGTTTCAATTAGTATAACTAAGAGAATTACCAAAAGGTTTACCTGAATTTGATGTTTGAACGAATGTTTCTTGTATGTGATTCATATTATTCCTGTATGAAATAAATGTTATTGATATTCCTGCATGTGATTAATGTAACTAATATTTTCAAACCTTTTTCTTCCATTAAGATTAACATTAAGTCATTGGAAACATCACTGTATATATACACGCGACTTGGGAGGATGTCACTATTGTTTACAAATATGGTGAAATCTGCTGAATTTGTTTCTAGACCAATCTATTTGTACAAGTTTGCTCTCACGTATTAAATAGCGTGACAAAGACACGCGTGGTGTACAATTGAATCAAGCGAGCTTCTTTTATCACATACTCGAAGCATCGAAGGGTTTCACTTCAAACACTTTAACGTCTTAGACTTGTTAATCAAGTTTTCTATCCAGTAATTTATCCATTTTGAGAGAGTCTACAAGGGTTTCTGCACTTTTTCATTTTAATAACATTCGACTATTTTTCTCTTAAGAGTACTTTAAAATCAAAGATGTGGATCATGTAACTGTATTGTAACGTAATTTGATAATTAATATAATATAATATAATATAATATAATATAATATAATATAATATATAAACAGTCTTATAAAGATTATTTAATGTCAGTCATCCATCAAATCATTGATGGATAAGATTTTATTCGATGTTGAGGAACAGCATACTGTACGTACAGGTGTGGAACTAAAACGCCAAAATGATCCCAGTTTTTAGAATTCTGAATATTCTGATATATCTTTGAATTTTTTTAAAATTAGTTAAATCTTTAGATTAACAGTTATGTTGCGAAAACAAAAAAGCGTTTAAAATAGCATAGGGTTTATTGGATTTCTCTCCCTGGTATCTTGGAGATTTCTCTCCCGTTTTGCGCGCGATGTACCAGAAACCCTTCTGTTACAGTTTAGTCCGTGCGACTTGCTCAGAGCACATCACAATTGCGTCTTATCTAAGCCTTTCTTACGTTCTTCCACAATTTTTTTCTCTCGTGTGTTTTTAACTGAGCCAGAATCTCTCGCTCTTGTACCTAATTTTAGCATAACATATTACCATCGTCACTAAAATAACTCTTTTTTTAAAGGTTTCCAAATGCAATGAGCTTGGCACAATATATGCTTGACTCAATATAAGCTTGGCACTTTTTTATAGGCATGTGTATTTTCAGGTGATTTGAATTCAGATGTCTTAATAGACAGCATCAAAAAGTACTCTCATGCGTATCATGGTGCGGAGGCCCAAATTTAATTTGTCAATGGTTCAGTGGAACCTTGTAGCACCAACCGGGCATTCGCAGCAGTTCCAACGTTCACGCTGTTCTTGGACACATATCAAGAATCATAGGGTAGTCCGGGATCTTTTCTTTACTTTGATGATGGCGATTAAAAAATTAGAAATAAACAGACCCCATTTCTTGCCGCTGTGACATTCATCCATGCTCATCTTTAAATAAACACTCCGAAGAAATTAGGTTTACCGTATAAAGAGATCATATGGGCGAATAAAAAAGAATCAGATAAATTCATGCTATTCGTTTTAATGGATTCTTGTCAAATTTTCATACTTTCATGTTTATTGTTTCTTTCTTTTTTAAATAAATTTGTCATACATTAAAACCTTGTGTTAAGTATTATATCTGCTTATCTTGGTGCCGAACCTGCTCCTCAGCTCTTTCTCTTTCTTGGTGGAAGTGTTTTCCCAGCATACTGCGTGTGTCATCAAAGTTTTATGAGAAACGTTACGTGGCCCTACTGTAAATTGCCTTCTAGCATTTATAAGCGTTGTCCTACCAGCTTATTGGCCGTATATTCTTACCGTATATCTAGGGTTTGAGCAACTTATGACTCATACGTTTACCAACGCACTTCTGAAACCTTGCGTTTGTCTGTGTATTATATGTTTGCGTACAATGTATGTCTTTTTCTATCGTTGAACCGTTGTATAGAATTAGTATTTCTACAGTGCGGAGGCGACAGACAGAAAATGCGAACAGAATAGTAAAATTAAAAAAAAAAAGATAGTGAATAATAATGAAAATACAATATCACCTAAAATAGAATATTAACTTGGACACAGTGGAGCGGTGGTCACTGCGATACACAGGCATTACCGCATGCTGTACATGGTCTGTCTGTGAACAAACGTCAGAGAAAGAGCTAGTTTGTTTATCGGGTGTGGAAAGCTTTGAAAACTTACAAAATAACTGTATATTATTCTTTAGCCTATCATTCCTTGGCCCCGGCCTTTACGTCCCTGGCATTATTTTTTAACCCGTTGCGGCGGGTTAAATGATAGCTATCTCAAGGTGCCTTTCGGGACATGCATTGCCCTCCTCTCACAACAATATACACATTGTCAAGGACAGTATACACACAAAGGCCCGACGCCATTTTTTTTTTCTTTTTATTGTTTACTGCAATTACTACCCTCAATCCCGAACTGAGACACTATAATTATGTGCCTGAGTGAAAGACCTTTGCCTGGATTTTGGACGAGTTAAGAGATGCTGAGGAAGGACATACCTGTCAAACCTGTTTCTTCAAATTTCAAAATGAATTGTTTTTGATCTTTGGAAAGATACACATAGCTGATTTTTTAAACCCATGACGGCGGTTTAAATGATTGATATCTCGGTTCCTCTGGGGAGAATTTTTCTCTCTGACAACAACATACACAATGTTTAAGACAGTATTCGCACAAAGAAAATAGTTTTGTCTTTGGCATTTTTTCCTTATTGTTTACTGCAATCACTACCCTCGATCAACAGATATGAGAAAACAATAATATGTCTGCATATTGTCGCGAATGAAGTTTTCGAGGGTTCTAATGTAGGATAAAACTCCCGACGAGATAGGGAGTGTTGACAGGTATGTCCAAGAAGTGTATTCTTCTATCTTTGAACCTTTAAGTGAAATTAGAATTTGAATCTACAGCGCAGAGAGTCGAAACAGACACAGAATGTGGAAAGAATAGTAAAATTGAAGGAAATGATTTATGATATGATGATATTATATGATAATGATAATATCCAACTAAAGTCTATTCTCGAGGTCAGTAGTGTTGACAGGTCTGCCGTGTATTTTGTTGTCGGGTACAAAGCTTGTCCCAAAAGAAACCCAGATATCAGTCATTCAAACCGGAGCAGGGGGTTAAAATAATGACAAATGCGTATTTTTCCAAAGATTAAAAAACAACTCATTTTGAGAATAAAAGAAACAGGTTTGACAGGTTTGTGCTTCCCTATCACTATAAATGAAACGGGTTAAAAGACAATGACCGATGCGCACCAATTCAAAGATAAAAAACAATTTATTCTGAGAATAAAAGAAATAGATTTGACCGGTATGTCCTTCCCCAACACTATAAATGAAACGGGTGAAAAAATTATGACCGATGAGCATATTTTTAAGGATAAAAAACAATTCATTTTGAGAATAAAAGAAACAGGTTTGACGGGTGTGTCCTTCTCCAGCACTATATATGCTGCCCTCAGCTGGAATATTATCATCACAGATTTTGCTTCAACCCTGTGCCCTTCTCTCGCTCACTACTTGGTGACAGTGCATGTACTAGTTGAAGGTTTGGAACCACCAAAGCCAAAGTTTTACATAAAGCATTAGATATGAAAAAGCTGATCGTTTTAAGCATTTTTTTCACGTTGAGCTCCGGGTTTGATTTGACGATTTTACACACCAACGATGTCCACGCACGTTTCGAGCAGTTTGATGGAAGAGGCACGCGATGCTCGGACAACGAAGCTCAAGCGGGAGTGTGCTTTGGAGGAATAGCGCGCCAATGGACCAAAATTCAAGAAATTCGCAACTCTGAGCAGAACGTAATTTTACTGGACGCCGGAGACCAGTTCCAAGGCACTTTATGGTATACGTTGTACAAGGGCAATGTTACAGCATACTTCATGAATTTGTTTCAATTTGACGCAATGGTAAGTAATTTTTCCATGTTTAATCTTCTTAATCAGCGGCATATTGATAAATTGTAAAATCTTGGCTTTAAGCGATCTGTGTTTGGCACTTGAAATTCAAAGTTGCATAATGATTCATACTGATTTCTGAGACATTTTGCCAGGCCCTTCTGGCGCAATTTACTTGTCAAGAACGCTTGACAAGTAAAGGTACTGCACCATGATATACCGAATAAGAATGTTGATTGCTTGTTAGTAATGGAACATATCATTTCGTTTTACAGAAAAACGCATGTGTGCATTTTATGGAATTTTTATATATTTATAGATCACATGATCGAAGCATTCATTTTAATGCATTGATTTGGCTATTAATTAAGCCTTTCGTAGGCACATGCTCTTCTAAACCTTACACTTACATCCAAGCTAGCTGGCACGGCAAAAGTGGCGTAAGCTGGCAAGCCCCCTTTCCCCCCTGCCCCCCCCCCCCCCCCCAAATAGAAATAATAATTAAACCAAGACAGAATAAAGTGATATTTTTTAATCTCCATAAATCTCTGTACATGTTTATCCCACAAAGTATTATTTCACTATACAATTCTCGCCGATGGACCATAGCACAGGGATCACGCGCCCATTGATCTTCAAATAATTGCATCCGCACTCTCAAAGTTCAATTGGCAAAAGCGGTGAGACATAAATATCTTCCTTCTGCACTCCACCTTCATTTCTTAGACAAAGTTTTTAAAATCTAATTTTTACCGTTACGTATGTGTTTCGCCACCTTCGTTTCCATTACAAGAATGGCTCGAAGATTATAAATTCAAAAAAACGGGGTACGCCGGTTCTTACTTTTAAGATTCATATCAAATCATGAACTGTTTTTTGATCTTTAAGAAATAAATAAGTTGTTAAAATGATCTATACGGTATAATGTGGTAAAGTGGTATAATGATATATATTGGTTTCTGAGACATTTTGCCACGCCCTTCTGTTGCACTTTACTTGTCAAGTACATGTGCTTCACCATGGTATATCGAATAAGAATGTTAAATGCTTTGAGTAATAGAGCATATAAATTCGTTTTACACAAAAAATGCATTTGAGCATTTTATGGGAATTTTATATATTGGTAGATCACATGATCGAAATATTTAATTGATTTGATTTGGCTATCGATCGGGCTTTTCATAGGTACAGGCGAGGTCATCTCATAGTATCAACGTGAAATTCGAAATATGCTGAAATATGTGTACAATGTAAATTGTTGTTCTGTCATTCTTTGCTAGTGGTTACAAAATGTTGAATTTGACCGAAAATTTCAAACTTTCTCTGGGAAGCTGTAATTTTGCGATGTGATAGTTACACCATCACAGTTTATCATTTCATAAAAAGGGAAACAGCAGCTGCCCTTTTTAGGGCACACAGGAGAGTTGAACAGCTATACCCACCAAATCCAAGACGCGTTACCCTGGGTAATATATTTTGCACAAACTAATGAAAGTCTAATGGAATGTTTTCAGTTTTAGTTTAAATCATAAGGGGGTGTTGTCTCAATGCTTCAAAACTGGGTTTGAAGAATTTAATCCACATTTCACAATTAATAAAAATGGTGAATATGTGGGTCACGGTAATGTTATTGACGCGGGTACAAAAACTTTTTATAATCATGTAAATAATAACAATATTTTTGCTATTATCCATACACACTTCAATCATGAGGGGCACACCACTTTCACATGCTTTTAAAATGGAATTGACAAACACAGAGGAATAATGCACATATTTTATTTACTGTAACTCTGTCATATGGGACACACACTGAACAAAGTTGATCTAAAGAATGTTCCAGATTGTAGTTTTTTATCAGAATTATTATTTTTTTATTATTATTTTAACACAATAAAGTTCAGTTAAATACAAAATTTAACAAAATGAAGTTCAGTGTAACACAAAGTTCATAATTATAACATTCTTCCTGACATATGTAGACCAATGGTGATATCTGTTCTGTGCTCACTAAGGCATCCACTCTTGGGATTCTGAAAAAAAATCACACAAAGAATCTGTTAACTCTGATAACGAACAATGGATAACCTAAGATCACAAATAGTTTATTGCTTATTCAAACAAAGTACAGTGCATTATGAGTGGCAAACACGCATTACTGAGACACATTTTCTTCACCCATTTTCGGTGCTTCATTGCGTAACGTA